CTGAGAGGAGATCCCACCTCCAAGCAGGTTAGGGAGAAGGCGGCGTGTGCGGATGTGTGCACGTGGGGAGGGAGATGTTTAAAATCTTGTCAATAATACATTTAACAATACAGACAAGCAACAAGATTAAGCTGTCACTCCCCCAAGATACAGACACAACTCACAGCACTTGAAACCCCAAAGCTCTGGCTGCTATTGGAGCCATGTAGATCCCCAGTTATTGGCAGGTTTTTAAATATAGAATCCACCTGGCCTAGTTTCTGGTTTCTATATTGAGAAAGTAGGCCATGTGACTGCACTTCAGAGCGGTGTCTTTGAATCCAGGTTACAGCATTTATCCTGCCTGCTGAGTGCCGTGTTCTCAAAGCAGGGCTGGAGGGACATTTTGCAGGAGAAACTATAATCCTCTCCTCCCTTCTCTTAGTTGGGGCGGGGGATGGGGTTCCTTTGGATCCTACAGATGTGTGAAATAGATTTAAAATAATTTCTGAGAATACAGGCCCAGCAGCTTTGGACATATATGAATGCCAGATCCCGCACATTTGAGTTACTTCATCCAGTTTTACTATCCCTATTGAATTCACAAAGTTACTCGTGCATAAATATAAATTGGAGCACAGTGTTTATAATCCTCAGATGTGCTAATTCCTGGCTGAGAGCCTAAATTCAGGTACTGTTTGTGTCTGTTGCCACAATAAATGTAGCATCTGATTCTGTAAGCAATCTCTTAATTCACCCTCGTGACTGAGATGCTAGCTCCTCTATCAGAAAGGTCCAGGCTAGCTTTCTGTTGTAAACCTGATTTTTAATATACCTGGAGGCTGTGGACTTAAAAGGTACCTATAGACAAGCAATGAGGCTGCTCTGAAATGTTGAAATGACAGTGTCGGAGCAGGCTCAGTTAATCGAGTCTCCGGAAGTGTGGTAATTACCACAGTCCAGCAGAATCCAGCGTCTTGTGTATCGGTGTTCCCATGCTTAAAAATGGCGGTAGGGGCATTTTAACTAAAGCTCATCAAAAAAGATTTAGTTAAAGAGACCCTGCCGCCATTCTTAAGCGTGGGGATGCTGATGTATGAGATGCTCTGAGCATGTTAATTAGAGAGGCTCTTGGAGCTGCTCTAATTAAAGTCTCTTCTCTCCACCCCCCACCCAATCCTGGAGCATATGTATAGTGCCCAAAGACTCTATTGGATTCCTGCTAAAATATCTTTGTCTCCCCATGCCATATGCAGGCCTTGCAGAAAGGAGGACAAGGACAGAGACACTGTTGTCTTTATCATTCCATATTCACTCAAGTTTGGGGGTTTTGAATTTGAGTTGAAGTATGAATTTTAAGGCTTTTCAACTTTTGAGACATCTACAGCATTCTCTCCTGGATTCATTTCTCTTTGTCTTGTATTCACTCCAAAATAACTGGCGGATACCTACAACTTTGCAAGGCAAACTCTGTTAATCAGGTACAAATAAATGAGGGTACTTCTCGGACTGTTGACTTTTCACAGTCATCTCTCTTAGGCATCTCATTGTGTTCTGAAATACTGGGAATGAAGTCCTTTATTCTGAATCTTTATTCCTCTTTGTGCAATGCTGTGGTTTTGTTTATAGGTCATCCTAGACTTCACTTCATCAAGACTTCATAGGCCTCTCTGGGGGCATTGCATGTTGCTCTATGATCTGGTTGGGTGACTCAGCAGAAACAAGGCAGCAGTAATCAGATTTTTATAACAGCCAATAAAGCAAAATATATATAAAGCACATAATAAACCTTCCCCAGCTTTCACCACCTCGGTGTGGATCTTTGCTTTCTTGCAGACACCACCACAACAGCCATCTGTATAATGCCTTCCCTGAGCACCCAGTCGAGGATATTAGAGTTGCCTGGGAGCTGGCATTGCCCTGCACCCTACTTTGGATATATGCATGAAGGTATCCAGGAAGTGCAAGGCTACAATAAAGGGTTGCTCTAAGATGCTGCTGAATCTGCACATATCCTTTAGAACTGCATGATCAAGACTGCTGCAAAGGCAAAAGCTTTAAATGGTGACTCAAGGGGATGGCTTAAGTTTGTACTAAGTGGCAGACCTGCCTCAAACTAGTAGCTCAGGATGTGTGGACGTATTTAGCCAATCTGTGCCATGTAGACATGCAGATGGCTTCCATGTTCCTTCAAGCACGTGCAGTCTTTGTAGTTCAAAGAGTCGACATTCCTGTGCACAAGGTAGGGCTGCTGTGTGCAATCTGGATTTTGCTGCCTTTGCATCCACAGTGCGAAGGACTCGGGGAATATCAAGTCTCCCCAGTTTCTCCCACCACCGCATTAGGGGGCAGTTCCTCATTTGTGATAATCCCAGTTTGTACAAGTGGAGTTTTGTACCAGCGCTGCGTCTGTGCCATGGTCTGTAATTCTCACACTCTCAGGGCTCTTTAGCTTAAATGTGTGCTTTCTTTTGCATTCTGTACTGTACAAGATATTAATCTGTGGGCACAAGTGAGGACTTTAAAACAATACCTGTAAAGAAATGAAACTCTTCTGTTAGCATCAAAAGAAAGCTAGACCCTGACTGTTTCTGTAATCAATGTGTTCAAAGTCTGAACCTTATCCCTGTTTGCTCCCCACTTTCATCTCATCCTGCTTTGAATATTGGCTTACACTCTCATGTGGTACCAGCTGGGGGCAGCCCCACAATCTCAAGTGGAAGAATGAGTTTTGTTTTGTTTTTTGTCCCTGAAACACTTCAAAAGCACTATGAAAGCAGGGTTAAAGGGTCCCTCATGGATCAACTACACTTTGCTGCCTAATATTACCTTTCAATGAGGGTCAAATGAACTGGACTTGGAGATGCTCTAAAGATGTCACTGAAGAGAGAGCTTCTGTAGTCAACGTGGTGTTTAGTAGTTTTCATTCTATAACCCGTCGGGGGTGAGCAAGTACTGTATTATTCTGATTACAAGTCTTTTCCTTTCCCTTCCACAATGAACCGTAACAATTGCTTTCAATGTATACACGGGGTCAATTTACACTCTGAAATACATTTGAGAAACAGAGGTATATCATAGTGTTAAAGGAAGTTCCTTTGCTAGGTTTGCGTCAGCACCATGCTGTGTGGCTACTGGGACAGCGCTTGCATCAGAGCAGGAAAGAGCAGGTGATCCGAACAGAGCTAGATATATGATTTACAGAAATAAATGTGTCAGAGGCAATCAGTACGGAGGGAGAGGAGTGGCCAGGAGTAAATGTAGACAGGAAATTGGAAGGTTGTGCCTGCCTGCGAGAGCAGGGGCGTGGACTTGTTGCCCCCAGAAGCTCCTTTCAGTTCTGTGTTCTGAAAAAAAATCCTCAGCACCACCTTGAGTGGAGTATCAGCCTGTGAGTCCTATAGCTCATGAGAAAAGGGAATCCAGACATCCTATCTTTAATGGAAATATCCAGCTCCCCCTATGTGTTTTTCAAAGTGCTTTCCTCATCTTTTTGTTAGAAAGCTTGACTGTGATGAACCAC